AAAAACTGTCGTCCATAAAATGCGTTGCACAAATTTGAACATCTGGGTTGTGCTGTTCTGTTGTAAATGAATCTTAACCAATGATTCCTAATTGCATCTACTACCGGAAGGCCAAATAAAGTGCTTTTACTTTCACACTGAAACACAGCGTCTCCCTGACATGGCTTCATCAACACGACTGCTGTTCCTGAAACCACGCCTTCATTCTTTGCGTGCACATTTGGGCGGCATTATGCTAGTTTTCCACATAGTGACGTAGATATGTGGGGGCGTGTTAGAACGAGCCATTTTAGGTAGGCGTGGCTGACTCTTAACTTTTATAAAGAATATCTCTTTGGATTTGAGACTTTAGTCTTTGCAACTTTACAGATCTTCTTTATGCACCAAGAGCTTGTAACACTTCAAAGAGAAAGGAAAACTTGAAATCGCATCATATGACCCCTTTAAGAACCGCAACTGTTATCAACATTGATAATGATAAATGTTTCTTGAGCAGCAAATCAGCATATTAGAATGATTTCCGAAGGATTGTGAGATACTGAAGACTGGAGTAATGGCTGTTTAAAATTCAGCTTTGCCATCATAGGAATCAATTACATTTTAAATGACATCAAAATAGAAAATTGTAATGTTGTGAAATATTTTTACAATTTGAAAACGGTGTTGAACAAATAAATGCAGAGACATTAAAAAAAAATCAACTCTAAAGATTTGAACAGCAGTGTATTTTGGAAGCAGACATTTAATAAGTGGGATAATGTGCAGTTAGCTGCTTTGCATTTCTTGATCTCTCTGTCTGGAATTCATTTGGCAATAATTACTATCCGAGTGTACAGTATATTATCCCTTAGTCTATGTTTGCAAAGCTTACCTGTTTCTGAGGTAGCGGGTAAAGTCTGGGTGGTAGATTTTGAATTTTTCTACCGTCACATCTTTACCAAAGTATGCAGGGGGACTGAAAGAGATATGCATTATAATTAAATTGAGTCTTAATTGTGTATATAATGTATAATATTATAAAAGTGTCTTTTATCTACAAAAATCAAAACATTGAGAGATGGATGTCATGAGAGATGGACTTTATCAGTTGTAGTGATCAACGATATGCATAAGCTATGTCAGTTTACATAATGTTGTTATGATATTTACTTTTTGCTGCGCTCAGGGCCTTTAACAATTGCTGTGTGTGTGGAAGCCGCCTTCATAAGAATATAATCTCTGTCATGGTCTGGCAGGAATATATACCTGGTCTCCTACACAGATGGAGATGAACAGCGACAGAGAGACATTTGTCAGCAAACAACGTCACAACTCAACATCAACACAACTCCCGAAGCAAAAGGGTAGAGGAAGGCACTATCAACGCAAAGATCACGGGTTCTGTCATAGAACAGATCATAGTCAAAGAACTCAATTTCACTCAATATAATATAAAAATGTTGACAAACAGTGGAGTTACTGCGTCTTATCTTTGCTTGGTAGTGTACTACCCAGACAACAATGGATACCTTGGATATAGGTGGACCTCTGTAGCCTATGCGAGCGTATCTACGCATGGAGTTTCTCATAGTGTTGGTTGAGAATGTGTAGAAGGAAGTCCGGGCTCCCAC